GGCCATTTGTTTGTGGACGATAAGGTGTTGAGTTAATGAGTTTAATTGCTTTTTCTTTGGCAAATCTTTTGACATCTTTTGAGACAAAATTTCTTCCGTTATCGGATTGAATTACTTTTGGTACTCCAACGGTATAGATGATTTGGTTTAACATCGATATTACATCTTTGCTTTTACCTTCTTTCGAGGCTTTGACGAAGGCATATCTCGTTAGAACATCTACCGCTACTAAAACGTTTTTATTTCCTCGATTTGAAATCGGAAATGGACCAACCATATCTATTTGAATTCTTTCCATGGGTTGAGCAGGGATAGGCATTGATTTGGCCTTTCCTTCATTAGTTGTTTTAGTTTTATACTCTTGACATAATTTACATGCTGAACATTTCGCTTGAATTATCTCATCCATTCTAGGAAACCAATAATCCATTTTTATCTTGTTAATTGTTGGTTTAGGACCAAAATGACCTCCATTTACTGAGTCATGATACTCGTTCCAAATTCGGTCAACCAGGTTATCAGGTAGAACAAATTTTGGTGGTTTGTCCTTATTTAATCGGAGTAAAATTCCATCCTTGACAGTGTATTTCTTTGTACCTCTGCCAGCTCTGAGCTCTTCCTTTATAAACTCACACCTTGAATCTTTCTGTTGGTGATTTTTAATGTTATCAGCTTCATTTACCTTATTCAATTTTACATTGAAGGTAAAATTTTCCTTCGATGCTTTATCATAAATATCGAATTGATCTTGGATCAGACTGATGAAATAGTCTTTGGTTGCTTCTTCGATCGACTCTTCTTGTTGCTTGAGGCCGAAGTCATACCAAGCTAAATCATCTTTGTTATTGTGGGTAACTTTTTCAGATTTCAATAGATTAAGGTACTTATCATAATGATTGTCCTCAATTTCTCCTTGAGCTCTGTGATTCCACTCGTTAGATCTTGATATACAATCGGCTGGATGTTTGTCTCCTTTGATGTATTCAACCTCGAAGTTGAAATCGCCAAGTTCTGCTTGCCATCTGATTAATCTCGGAACTTTAAAAGTTTTCTTTTTGAATACACATAGTGCATGATGATCTGTCACTATGGTAAATGTTATGTGTCTTAAGTAGCTCTGAAATTTGTTACAGGCATAAACAATCGCTAGACACTCTTTTTCTGTGACTGAATAATTTCTTTGATGTTTCTGTAATTTACAGCCAAAGAAATAAACGGGCTTCCAATCTTCATCTTCTTTTTGAATTATTACTCCTCCGATAGCAACGGCTGAAGCATCTACCATAATTTTGATAGGTTTTTCAGGATCAAAGTGAGTTAACATACACTCTTCAATAAGTGATTTCTTTAGTTTTTCCCAAGCTTCGATTTGATACTTATTTAATGCAAAGGTGATTCCTTTATATTTTCCTTTACACATTTCACTTAAAGGTGATGAAGTTAGAGCATAGTCTTTGATGAATCTACTGAAGTAGTTGAAGAGTCCCAAATGAGATCTTAATTGTTGCAATGATGTTGGTGGGTTTAGATTTTTGATTCTTTCTATTTTCTTGGGGTCGGGTTTCACAGATTTTCCTGATACTAAATGACCCAAACAAACGAATTCGGTGACACCAGTTTTTAATTTAGTTATTCTGCTTTTGAACCCATAAACTGCCAGAGCTTTGAACACTTTTTCCATCCTTTCGCAAAGCTCGAAGATTGTCTTCGCGTAGATAGGGATATCATCGAAGTACCCCAGGCATGTTGTGTATCTTAAGTCTCCAAGTACAGCATTTATACATTCTTGAAAATAAGCTGGAGAATCAGCTAATCCCATCGGTAATCGTTTGAATCTGTAGCAACCATCTTCGGTGACGAATGAAGTTTTATCTCGTTCTTCCAAAGGTAATTCTATTTGGTAATAGCCTTGAGCTAAATCCAAAGTTGTAAAATATTTATTTCCTTTCAGTTTATTGATAGCATCATCGATGTTTGGCATCGGATAAACTCTTTTATTGATCAGTTTATTTAACTCGACATAACTTATAACCATTCGCCATTGACCATTTGGTTTTGGTACGATAAAGGCTGGTGCTCCTCCTCCGATCTTAGATTTTTCCACTATCCCGTTTTCTATTAATTCATCAATTATCTTTCTGATTTCGTGTTTCATTTTATCACTCATTCGGAAAGGTTTTAGTTTAGGCACTGTTCTATCTCCAAGATCGATTTTTATGTTGCAAACTGATGCTGGTACACATCCAAGATCGTAAGATGATTTCGAGAATGAGTCCTTATTTCGTATCAAGGTTTCATAGAGTGTCCTTTTATCATCATCATCTAGTGATGGATTGATTGACGCGCGAAGAATATCTTCGACGCTGTCAACCTTTGCTGGAAAGTCTTCGTTTTTCACCGAAAATTCTTCCACTGTGTTGATGATTAATTTTGATTCTTCAGGTTCTGGATAATATTCTTTTATTCTTTGGATGAAGTTGATTTTGTGTTTGTTGAGACTGTCAATTTCTGCAAGTTTTGTTAATTTTGAAGGATCGAATTCGTCCCCATACCACGATATTAGTAGTCTTTCAATGTCACTTTGATTTGGTAGTTCCATTGAGATTTTATATGGTCTGTCAACTGTCACTTGTTTTAGTTCATACGGTTGATCTGGGCCTTTAGCAATTATTATGCATTGAGTAAATTTTAACACATTTTCACCTAAGATAATGTCATTTGATAGCTCCTTTATCACATAGGCGGCGATGATTCTCACCGTCCGGCCATGAGTGATTTTCAATGGAACAGTAAATTGACACTTAACTTGGTTAGCATCGATTGCCAGAAATTTGACATCGGTTAATCCTAATTTGATTACCACTTCTTCCTTTATTAGGGTAGTACATGCACCTGTATCAAGAAGACCTTTTATTGTTTGATTCGCTCCAATGATGTTGATATTAGTTACTGGATATCTTTGGTCATCAGCACTATTTATATCATTATGATTGATTGACAATCTGATATGGTTGAGTCTCTTATCAACTTGATTCGTTGATTGCTGGTCATCACTTGCTCTTGCGATTGGTTTAGAATCTGTTTGTTGATCTGATGAAGTTGCTTTTTCTGCTTTAAGATATCTGCAGTCAACTGTATTGTGTGTATTTTTCTTACACCTTGAACACCATTTCTTTTTCATTTCACCTTGTTGATAACCTTTGTTTTCACCTTTGCTAGATTTTATACCTTCTTTAGTGTTTTCTCTATCACCTTGGCGATTTTTATAAGCATTTCGCTTTGAAACCATTAGCTGGTGGGTTTCAACAATTTTTCTTTCGATGTTCATTAAATCAGTCAAATCAGTTCCACTTCTCACTTCGGCAGCAATTGTATTGGGAAGAGACATTAGAATTATCATTATCATAGGGACATCAGCGATATCGGGACAAATTACTTTAGCAGCTTTCTTAATCTTCTTGAGATGTGTAATTGGGTCCTCTCCAGAGATTAACTTTGTATTCTCGAGAGTATAAAATGCGTCAGCAATTTCTGTTGCTGTTATAGTTGACCTTATCATCATTTCTTTTAGATCATCATAGTCAATAAATTGGTTTTGACTTATGATGTCTTCGCACTTTTTACGTGCTTCACCTTGAAGTGACCCTCTCATATATCCAACCCACTCTTTCTTTGATTCATCGATAATTCTTAAATCGTATTCGAGTGTTTCGATAAAGGAAGCAAAGGTTTGATTATTATCGGGCCAATATCTCGAAGATATTCTTCGGATAACCTCTCTTTGAATTGGTGTTAGGTAAGGTGCCCTTGGTGGATAATTAGTGTTGCTTCTGATACTTTGATTAAAATCACTCAATGTTTCACCTTTTACGAAGTATTCACCAGCTATTAGTGCAGCTTGAAAACTGTTTATACCAATGCTTTTAAGCGCTTCTTCTGACTGTACTTTTAAATCTTCTGTACATGTCATTCCTGCGTTCATTAAAGCTTTTATGGTTTCGTCACTTACTCCTATGCTTCTTAAAGCTACTGCTTCAGGCCATAGTGAAGTGTATTCTAAAACAGGAGAATCTTCTTTGAGATTGGTTGTTTTACCTTCCCATAGGTTTTGAACATTATGTGATGAAATTACCGCTGAGAGAAGTCTCTCATGTGGTAATGTATCTGCATTTCTAATTCCACTTTCTTTTGCCATATCGATTAATTGTTTGCGTTGAATAGTTTTATAAAGCGTCATGATGAGTGTATAAGAAATTGATGATGGTGTTTCAATGATAGTTTCTTGTTTCACGTAAACACTTTTTAAGTCTTTTGATGAGATTTTTGAAGTTATAATTTTGAAGGTTATTCACTCAACACACCGTAGCTTATAGTTGCATTCACTGTTCACTTTGTAATCAAGGTTGAAGAAAATCTTCGACCAAATAATCTTGTATTCAGGCTTATTCTAAGAAGACACAATTGTTTTCCCTTCAGAAGAAAATCTTCTTATTTAATTTCAAGATGCTTTGAAATTAGAGAAAAAAAAGCCAAAATTTAGGTGATCAGACTAAATTAAATAAACACGCACTTAAATCACTACGTTAAGGTTAATGAGAGCTTAACAATTCAGAAACAGTCGGTAATCTCCACCAAATTATGTGAGGGACGGACATAATTAAACCGATTAGCAATAAATAAAAATAAATGAGGACCAGGGACCGTTACAACTGAACAAACTGAATTAAGTGATTACGATTAAGATGATGTTTATTTGAATATTAAAGATTAGTAATTGATTAATTAGATACTGAGTGAAGTTCACTAAAGGAAACGGAAAGTGTTGATGAGTAACAATTAAAAATATATTGTGACTTAAAGAGGACACTGGTTAGTAATTAAGTGTGTTGATTGTATTTAAGATGTAGTCTTAAATACTCATCTAGATGTGTCAAATAGCCAATGATAGATTGACAAAAGGGGGAGCTAGTATAATCTAATGTAGATCCCTTACAGATTGATGAAAGTAAATTAGTTGATTGATTGTTTAGTATTTAATTGGTGAACAATTTACAACAATGGAATAGTTAATTTATTGATTAGTTACAATTTCTTAGGTAAATTAATTAATTAAATTGCATCTCTAGATTGTCTAAGATTGTTTTTCATCTAATTGTTGGTACAAAGGAATCAGATTTATCTGTACAATCAATTGGTCTCTTATTGTTTTCTAAATTGTTGTTAATACAGTTTTTAATTGTCGTTAAATTTGATGGACTTGGAGTTGATCTTTCAATGTTTATATCATCGTCTTCATCGTTATTGTTTTCAGAGTTTACATTTGGATTGAGGTTTTTATGCTTGGAATTGGAGTTGATTGTTGATCGTTTGCTTGTGTTGTTGTTGTTGTTGTTATTGGAGTTGTGGTTTGGGTTGAGATGATGATGATTGGATGATAAGTTTAATCCGTTGGTCGGACCATTGAGAAGGTTTAAAGGAAGATGAGGATGAGGAGAAGAGGATGAAGATGAAGATGAAGATGAGGAAAGTAAGGAAACGTTTGATGTTGGTGATGGAGATGGAGAAGAGGTTGAATGAGGTGCAAGTGATGTGGGTGATTGTTGGTGTTGTGATTGGGGTTGTTGTGGTGTGGATAGAGATGATATTGGCAGTGATGATGATGAGGAGGAGGAAGATGATAAATGATGACTTGAATGATTGTCTTTCTTTGAAGGGGAAAATAAAGGATAAGGTGTATATCGGTGTGTTGATTGGTCGTGAGGATGATTAGGACGAGTTGGACCAATACCGTTACTAGTACTCTCTTTGTTATTGTGGGTGGTGGAAGTGTTTCCTTTACTGTTATTACTGTTGTGGTTGTTGTTGTTGGTGGTGGTGGTGAGGGATCCAGAGGGTGGTGTTGATGATGAAGGAGGATTACAAGCATTGGCTAAATTGGTTGCATTGATTAACGATTGTTTTGCAATTTCAGCTGATATTTGATTATTTGCATTGGCTGCCCAGAAATGAGGGGGAGTTGAAAAGGCAAGAGCAGCAGCGGCGGCAGCCGATGTTGGAGACATTGATTGAGAACCAGGCAAAGATCCTGACGGAGAGAGAGAGAAAGAAAAAATTTAATGATAATTAATTCATTAAAATCAATCAACAAGATTGAATGAGCTTAGGATTTGATGATTACCTGAATTGGGGTTAGGAGATCGTAGGTGAGCACCAAAAGCTGCAGCTGAATACCAGGGTGGACAAGAGGTGAATAGATTATAAAAGTCTGTTGGATTGATCGGTGGAAAGGCGGGATGAGGTCTCCACATAACTGGACCACCTCTTACACCATTAGGTGAAAGTCCTGGCGGTAAGCCAGTGGGTGAGAAAGGATGAGATGAAGGTGATGAATTCGGCGGTGGCAAACCAGAGGGATGATGATGTGGATTAGGTGAACCACCTGAATGATGGTGAATATGATGAGGTGGAGGATGACCCATAAGAATTGCTCTTTCTCTCAGCAACATGTTCGCTGTATCTTCCACCAGGAAAGGCGATATCATTGGATTTCGTCCATAACAAGGGTCAATTAGCGAGTCCATAGTTTCCCTAAAACAAAACAAAAAAAGGTCAATCAATAATCAAATCGAAATCAATAACATGAAACTATTTAATCAAACAAGCAAAAGAATACAAAAGTTTAGATTTTCAATCTTCTTTAACTAATTACCCTGTTAATTAACTTAGTCAGGTAACAATCAAATCAATCAAACTGAACACTTAGACAATGTAATTATAAAGCCGTTGCTTTTTTTTACTTTGATGTTGTTTTGATTAAGTTAATTAGTTAAACAGTTAAACATTTTTTGTGTGCAGGTTGAATTGGCAATTGATTAGAGTGTTAAACAAACCAGAAAAATCAATTAAAAAAGAGATGATAAAAAAAAGTTAATTGCTTTTCAGTGATTGTGAGATAATTAAAATAAAACAACAACAACAATCAGCTGGTAAGATTTTTTTTTCTTGTATTACTTTGACTAGACAGGAAAAGGAAATGATGATAATGATGATAAGATGATTAGATTGACATGATGTGTGTGAAATTTTGATTACAAAGGTTTACTACTGGTGATTGATATGTTTTCCACTGGACAGAGAGGTCATTCAAAGGGAAGAAAATGCAACCCACTGAGGGGTAAACTGACCATCATAGAGAGAGAGACGAAAGGTATTACAAAGGTGGGGTAGAAAGTAGCAAAGCTAATCAACGATTTAACTGAAACCATTGATTATAAAAGATGCAAATTATATTGTATATCATTTAATGGTGAAATTAAAAACAGTTACTAGAGGTTAGAGTGAGAGAGGTCACATAATAATACACCAATTGAATCAGATTGTGGGGTGAGGCTTTTGACAGCGGAAAATTTGTCAAAGAAAAGCTTCTAATTAAAATAAGATGGAACATATTAGGAAAACAATAAGCAAAATATTCTGATGATGATGTTAAGATGAATACCTTTTCAAAGACTATCATCTTCTTGCAAACTCATCGGAGTAAAAGGTGTGGACGCAGGGGAAAAGATGATGATGGTGAAGGAAAATCTTCCTCATCTTCAGCTACGAGGAGCCAAAGAAGACAGAAGCTCTCTCTCTCTCTCTCTCTCTCTCTCTCTCTCTCTCTCTCTCTCTCTCTCTCTCTCTCTCTCTCTCAATGTGTGGTCTACACACAGAGTGTTTCCTTAATTATGTAGCTGAGGTAAGATGAACACAGAAGCCCCTTAAGCTAAGTGAGTGAGCTTCATCCTCATTCTCATCCTCATCATCACATCTCATTCTTTTCCATTGAATAGATGACATATTTTTCTTTCTTTCTCCATTTTTCTTAATATTCTTCTTGGTTTCTATTTGTCTCTCATTTCAGAGTCCATGTAATGTCCAGAGAGTGGATAAGTATTCGTAGAGTGGGGTGGGAGCGATACGATTTGTTCTCTCTCTCTTCCATGATAAACAAAGTAATTTATTCATCATTGAAACTTCTCTGTTCTCACAATTTCTCACTTATCATCATCTTCTTCATCCCTAATAATCATTACAAACATTTCCTCTTCTTCCTTCTCTCCCTTAACACTGAAAACTTCATCATCTTTCTCTCTCTCTCTCTCTCCACTTTTCTTTTCTTTCTATTCATCCTCATCATCTCTTATCATCTTTTAGCTTTTTTTCCTCATTTTTTCAACTTATTTTCTGTCCTCATCTTTATCTGATCCTTGTATATTTTTGTCTAATCTTCATCTTAACTAATATATTTTCCCTTCATCTTAACCACCACCACCACCACGACCATCGCCCATGACTATAGCCTGAAGCAACTTACCTGTAATTGCAAACAAATTACCTTGAACCTTTTGGCAAGTTACCTGTTTCCTCCCTTTTTAACAACCCAATTCAATATTAAATAGTAACCAATGTTTTCACACAAACTAAATTATCAAATCAATCAAATCACAAGAAAAAAAACCAAACAGGTAAAAAAGACATTCAATTGAATAGGATGAAAATAAAGAAAGAAAATTATTTCCTTTTTCATCTTCTTCCTCACCTTTTATCATCCTCATCTTTCAACTCACCCCCACAAGTCTCTCTCTTCTCTCTCTCTCATCTTTTCATCTTCATCTATTAATGATATTTAACAAGTTACTATTCATTTACATTCAAATATTTACCTTTCCAACAGGTAGACAACCAATACAATATATTAAAGGTAATAATTTGTTGTTGCAATTTGCAAATTGTATTTTGACATGATTTAACTAATTGCAAAAAGTTAACAATTTAGATTTGCATTTTACACAATTGAATTAGAATTGGTTTTTCTAATATAAATTAAATTATCGGTAAATTGTATTAAATTGCAAATTATCTGAATCTAATCAATCTGAATGTTGAACAATGTTTTCTTGTTTAATATTTATAATCATTAGAACTAATTTTTAAAGGTAAGAATTGAATTGTATATGATTACTAATTTGTACTTGAATGAAATGATTAACTTGATTGTTGCATTAAATTGACTCAATAGGGTTCATGATATATACAAGAATGAGATGTGTGAGAGAGAGAGAGAGAAAGTTATGAATAACAATTGAGACAACAACTTGAATAAACTGTTACGTTAATTGGTTGATTCTTCCTCCTTCTCATCATCATCTTTCATCCTCATCATCAATGATGAGGATGATGATCATCAGCGTAAAATACATTGCAAGGCGTGATAAATTGTACATTAACTGTTACAGTTAATAATACATTCAGTTTATAATCAAGTCTCTGTGAGGTCGAAACTTTTGAATTAACATATTAAGTTATTAGTTATACAAGAGGTTGAGACAGAGGAAGAGGAATGAAAAGAGAAACGGAAACCCCAAAAGGATCACATGACAATAGGTCACGTGACTAGGGGGTGGTAAAGATGAAGGAGAAAGATGTAAAGATGTGAGGATGAGGATGAGGATGGAGATGATGATGATTTTGAGAGAATATGATAAATGAAAAGAAGTGAGTGTTTTTCTGTAACGGACTGACTCTTATTTGTCTGTTTATTGACGAAGGATGGAAACATTTTGACAGTAGATCTTCATCATCATCATTTAAGGAGAGAGAGAGAGAGAGAGAGAGAGAGAGAGAGAGAGAGAAGTGGGTGGATGGAGAAACGGATGAGAGAGAGAGGGAAGTTTTTGCGGTAAAATTGATGATAATTATGATGATGGAAAATGATCTTTACCATCAATGGGTGGTAAATGTATTAATGTAATAATAAGAAAATTATTTTGTTTCAAATATTTTTCTATTAATCTTATTGTTGATTCTGGGGTTTGATTTTCGTTTAATTTACTCAACTTGATGTTCAGAACCTCGAACAGCTCAGGAACTTTTTAATTGACAATGAGCAGAATAGTAGACGAAAGATATTTCAGATGGTGCGAGTGATGAGGTAGGAGAGATGAGAGGAAAAGATCCTGAGGGAGGAGAGAGGAGGAAAGGATAGACGAAGACAGAGAGTGTGAGTAGAGAGAGAGAGAGAGAGAGAGAGAGAGAGAGAGAGAGAGAGAGAGAGAGAGAGAGAGAGAGAGAGTGGGTGGTGGTAGATGAAGAAAGAAGAAGAAAAAAGAACAATAAATTGCTTCGTGCTGATTCATTTTCCACCTTCTCTTTTTTCGTCCTTCGTCTTTTTCTGTCTCTGTCTCTGACTCTGTCTATGTTTCTTTTTTTTTCTTTCTTTTTTTAATGTTCGTTGGTCAATGTTGTTGTTTTATTCTCACTTTGTTACTTTCTTTTCTTACCTTGTTAACTTTTCTCTCCCTCTCTCTCCTTCTCTCTTTCTCGCTCTTTGTATGTATATTTTTATGGAGTCAAAAGGAGCCAATGGACTTGGAACCCTGGGAGGGTGACAATGTGATATAATCTGATTCCTATTCAATTGCAAAGTCCATCCAATGAATAAAAAGTAACAATCCGTTTATTAACTTTACCTTTTATTTTGTCCATTGAAAAATACTAATCTTTATAAAGACTTATTGTTAATCACCTCAGGACATTATTATTGTTCATTCATCACAAGTTTTCATTGTTAAACTCAAGTAGTTGTTTTTCTTGTTGTTTCTCTTATATTGATACACTTTTAAGTGAGCAGATGATTATTATTATTATTATTAGTATAAGAAGAAGAAGGTCATTGTTAGTGTGTTGGTCAGTCGATAATAATATTTGTTTATTTCGGTGGTGATTGTGAATGAATGTAAGTCAACAAAACCAGAAAGTATCAATATCAATACGAACAAGTCATAATACTTATGATAGAGATAAGTTATATTGTCAAGAAAAAGGATAAAACTTTGAAATGGAATTGATGTGAGTTGAGTTGAATTGAATTGAATTTCAATGTATCATCATAAAATATTGTCAACAATGATTTGGACACTACCTCATCTCACTCCTCATCACCACCCACTTAGGGATGTAAGAGGAGGATCTAAAATACAGAATGATCTATCGAACTCACTATTTCCTCAATCGATTGTCCTTTTTTTGACCTTCGTTTATCAATGACAAAGAGAGTGAGAGTTTAACAAGAGCTGGAGAAGGAGAAAAAAAAATTCTAAACCTCCAAATGATGAAGATGGAGAAGGCTAATCAACAATTGAACAAATAGAAGTATCTTTTCAAAATATTCTTTACAAATCTCATCTTCTTTCTCTCATCATCATCATTATCATCCAGTGTTTTCTGTCCCAACTATCACAATATTCATCATTAATGTAACTGTAAAAAACTACTAGCATTGAATGAGAGAGCGAGAGAGAGAGAGAGAAGTCTCAAAGTTAAAGGTCAACAAAGTGTATAAGAGGATAAGATGATATGACAAGAGGATGATGATGAAAACAAGGATGAAGATTAAGATTAAGATTAGGGATGAAGATGAAGATGAGAAGATGGATTTTGCTAGGAATCATCATTATTCAAAAATAACTTTGAACGAGTGTGTTTTCAATTGGGATTAACATGGAAAGTGAATAGAGGTAAAAATAAATATTACAGAGGAGAAAAGATGAAGATGAAGATGAGAAAAATGCTGAAATTGATGAGAAAAAGACCAGGATGATAAGAGAAGATGAAAGAAAATTGAAACTATATGTATTCTCATGAGAAGAAGAAAAGTTCAAGTTCGAAAAGTTTTTTTTTTCGTCAAGTTTTTCTTACCTTTCGATGTCACTGAGTCTTGATGAGTCTCTAAATCCTTTGGCAAATGGATTAGAATCAATTTTTAACTTGGTAATCTGTTAATTGTAAAAAGAGAAACAATTTAATTAATCATCAAGATTAAAGAATTAAAGTATCACAATTTAATTCTAACAATTTGATTAACCAATTTCGTTGGTTGTCATTCAAACTTGTCAACGAGATTTAAATTCAAAGTTCAATGAATTAATTGTGAAGGAAGAAAATTTTTTTTTCCCAATTGTTATGATTACAATTATTCTGATTGAGTTGATTTAGTCTTTAATTTAATTCCTTGTCACCAGTAAATCAAAAGTGATTTAGTTAGCTAATAACATAGAATCACCTTGAAAATTAAATTGTCAAATTGTCAGCGATCAACAAAAACAATCAACTGATTGTTATGGTTTTCTTTACCAAATTTACAATTAAACAATTAACAATAATATCAAACAATTAGCTAATTTCTTGTATAATAAAAAAAATCGGATATAAGCTAATCAATTGAACAATTAAATTAAAACTTTGATTGATTGATTGGCAATGGTGCTGGTTGGTTAATCATTTTATTTGATTAACCATAAAGAAACAATCAAATCTAATCGTAATCAAATGATCATGATTAACAATTTAAAAGTTAACAAAACAATTAACATGAAACATTGTGATTGTCTGTTTGATGGTTAATTGTTGTTGATCAAATTACCTTTTAATTTTTTTTTTCTCTACAATTCTTAAACTGATAGTTAGTTAATTACAATTAAGACCTCCCTGAGTTTTGATATATTGTTACATTGATTTAATCATTACAATTACAATCAAACTGATTACCACAGGTAAACAGTGAATCCATTAAATTGTAAATGTATTTACAAGTATCAAGAATGTTAATCTGATTAACTGATTGTTATTGTAAAATTTAAAAGGCTAACTAAACAATTTAAATTGTTTCTGATTATACAATACAATTTATGTTAATTGTTGATAAAATTATGATTCTAATAACAATCGGAATGTCAATTGTTATGTATTAAATTGTTACAAAAGTAATTCAGTAATCATAAAAAAAAAGTTAATCTTCTCAATCAGACTAATGGTAAATATATATATGATTGAAGTAACAATTGAATCAATTTAAATTGTTACTTATAATAGGAATTAACAATCAACAATCATAAACATTGATACTTTAATTTAGTGAAATAAAAATTGATTGCGATTGATTATTTGTTTCTTGTTAATATGTAATTTAGATAAACAATTAGTTTGATTGTAACTGGTAAAGTTTATCACAATTTTCATCTTGTAACGTGAACATGTTGATTTGATTGAATTGATTCTGATTGATTGAATTGTATGTTGATTGGAAAATGATATTATCATGATGAAGATGATGATGGTAATATCAATTGTCATCTTTATCCTCATTATCTTATCAAGTTATCAAAGTTTATTATAAGGAAAAGATGAAGAAAGAGAAGAGGAAAAAAATTGAACAAATCTCACAAGACAAGATGATGATGATAATGAAAGAGAAACAGAGAGAGAGAGAGAGATGACAAAAGTTACAAGGTATCATCATCTTCATTATCATCTTCAAACAGGACACCCTATAGATGTAATAACATTGAGAAAGTGACAGGGGAGGTTGGAGAGAGAGAGAGAGAGTTACACTTGGGTTGACATGTAACATCACAGATAAGATGTTGGGATTGAGGAGGAAAGAGATTGATGATAATCATGTGATAAAATAAGAAATAGAGAGAGAGAGAGATGATGATGATGATGATAATAGGGGAAGAGAATATTCAGAAGAAGATATTCCAAATATAAATATTCTATTCTATTTCATCCTAACCACTCCTTCTTAATTTTCCTTCCCATTGATTACCATCAAAATACTATTACAGAGGTAACCTTATAATCCCCGAAGGTGAACTAGATGAGGGAGTGTTGGGGGTGGTGGAAGGTTAATCATTCTCAGTGACACTTTATCTCTCTCTCTCCTTCTCTTTCTTTGTGTTTCTCATTCATAAAATTATCTTCCACCCCCAAAATCTTACTCTTAATGAGTATTAACAACAAGCAAACAAACATTCATATGTTAATCAAGGTAACATATAATTCAAATACATGGTAAGATTTTCATGTCACCTCCCCTATCATCATCCTCTGTGATGATAATAACTTTCTCTCTCTCTCTCTCTCAATGTAACCAAAATCTGCCAAAAGTAACACCCTAACAATCAACATAATCACACACACACACACACACACCAACCAAGCGTGGGAGAGGCTACACCATGCCCACCATCAGTAGTTGTAGTAGTTAGTTAGTTAATAGTAGTAGTTAATAAATTGTAATGATTAAGTTTAACTAATAGTAGTTACAAACTGACAAAAAGGCAACAACAACAGTGATTAACATTTAAAAGCTCAAGCTAATAATCATCATGGTAATTTAGTGAAAATACCCTGGGGGTGAATTTTTTTTTCTTGTCATTGAATTAATATCAACCTTTTTTTTCAAATTGCTGTTGTTGATTTTGTTTTTGCTTCAACATTTAAATTCAAAAGTTTTTCCGCTTTAATCACATTATTATTATCATCATCAACCTCTCCTCTCCTCCTCCTCATCATCATCAAGGGAATCATCAACAAATATAAATCTCATTAAACTAACTCTGATTATCTCTCTCAGATATATTCAAATATATTATCATGATAATTGGTCATCATACTCATACCCAGTGGGAATTTAGTTTCTACACCATAACTTTCATTCAATTCCCACCACCCACTCCCACCTCTTTGTAGGAGTCATTATCCGAAAAGTCTGAATGATAATCACCATGATTACGATTAATCTTTCCATGTGTTCATTATAATCATCTTAATCTTGCCAATCCTCTCTCTCATTCATAATCACCACCACCAACACCTTCAATCAAGACATCAAAGGGTTTAATATGTATTGATGACGGTGGTGATGGTGGTTATGTTGATTGTGATGACGATGTTGTTGCTCAAGGTGATGATTTAATATTAGCACGTTATCATCATCTGAATGATGATGAGATGAAAATTAATTGTCAAAGTTAATCATTGTTTCTGAAACCTGTTTACATCTTATTCATCATGGTGATGATGATTATGTTGACAATCATGATAAAGGAGGAAACAATCAATCAATTGATTTGTTGATTTGTTCAATTTTTCTCAGAGTAACAATTTTTTTTACTTTACAAACTTTTCTTTCACCACTAAAGTGCCAATGTACTAATAACGGAAGTAGATGTTACCTGAGGTGTCAAAACCGGAAACAATAAGTTATCCACCTAAGAACTTGTCTTAATGATTGTCTCTCTCTCTCTCTCTCTCTCTCTCTCTCTCTCTCTCTCTCTGACCAAAGAAAAAAACAATAACAGTTAATTAACAATCAACAAATCAACATCTCGTAAATTGTTACAAAGTTATCAACTGATTGTTAACTTTAACCATCTAAAAAAATCAAGTTAATCAACTCATCTCTTGTTGAATGTTAACGGATTTAACACTTTAATTTGATTCTGATGAGAGTAAATTAAATTGTAACAATAAATTGTTCACATGAAAATAACTAATTGTTTCACTACTTAACAATTTAGGGTTAATTGTGAAACAAAAAAAAATATATATCAACAATTTAAACTGGAAACTATGTCTATCTATTGACTCTCTTCAACAATCAACTAATTGTTAAATGTTTGCTGTTGAACAAAATTAAATATACTTTTTGTTACTCTCACAGTTAATTGTTGCTGCTGTTTAATAGTCATTAATTTAAGTTAATCAGTTAACCACTTACAGTGATTATCTTGATTGTTGTTGTAACATTTTCTGGTCTCAGCTGTTTAATCAAACAATTAAGATTAACCAACATTCACAATCAAATAAATCAACTTGTAACTTAAACACTTTTAAGTGTTCAAGGTGATTAACTTAATATGTTTTCTTAATTAATCTTGTTACTCTAATCAGGTTAATTGTTTATGTTCATTCAAATATTAATCACAGTGACAATTAAAGATAAAACTTGTAATTGTTTACACTTGAAGGTTGTCAAAAGTAGTGGAATTTTTAAAGAAAAAAAGTAGATTCCAATTAGCCGGAAGCGGAAACGATGCTGCGAGTATTTTGATTTTTTCTCTCGTTCTTTTCAAGTTTAGAATAGATAAAAATAAGAGATAATCTTACCAATTGGTTCTGATAGGCAGTTACGGCTGTGAAAACTGTTTCCGGAAAGACGAAGGTTCGAAAACGTTCTGATTCCATGTCAATGAAGGTCGAATTGAAAGTAATTCCTTCACGATAGATGATGAGATGAATTCGAGGTTGATATTTGTGCATTGAATTTAATACTATCTGTTAATGGAGAGAAAGAGATGAAACAATTAAATTAGATGATGAAACAATCAACAGACAGAATTTCCAAGATTCAGAATTATTTGTTCGGTAAGAAATTTAAAAAGAATATGAAAAAAACAATCAAATTAACTAATTATCCACAAAGTGAATGTTATATGATGATAATTATGTTAGACTACTGTTAGTTGTTCACCTACAGAATTGTAACTTATTATCATTAGAACTTTGGAAAAAAAGAGAAAATGAAAATTTTCGAAAAAAGAAAAGTTCTTTAATATCATCATTATTATCATCACTTTCAGGAAGAAATCATATAGATCCAGCATAGGTCCAGAAAGGAAAGAGAAAAGAAAACTTTTTCAATTTAAATTCTTCAAACACTCAATTCCACTCAATACGAATTGAGAATGAATTTTTCAATGGTCACTTGATTTTCAAAATTTAAGAAAGAAAAAGAGAAAAAGAAAGAGAGGCAAAATCGTCATGTCCATCAGACAGAGATGGTCAAGAAGAGTATGATGAAGATGGACAATTGAAAATAGATAAACCTTGACCTTAAACAAGAGAAAATTTAATTGAAAACAAAAAGGTCAATCTAATATAAGACAAACCATTAACCTGGCAACTGGTCAGTTCTATTAGCTCTAAGCTTCCACCCCAATTAAATAATAGCTAAATAAAAGATGATATCTAATGCTGACATGCTGTGATCATCATCATCATCATTATCTCTGGTCACCTTGAGTCTCCCTCCCCAAAGTGTCAGTGAGGTGACAGCAAGTAAAAAAAATGATAACTCAAAAGAAAAGGAAATCTCAATTCCCATGAATGAAGCTTGACCAACACCACCTCCTAAAAAATGTCCACCCCCAAGGCCTCATTATTGTTATATTATCATCTTGTCCCTCTGATGATGATGATAATTTAAATAGCGTGATATTAAATAATATTTCATCCCGTTCATCCGTATCCAGGTAGCTAAAAATTCAGGTAACAAACAAAATCTCAGGTAGGCAAATATACACAGAGAGTAACAATTAACAAATCACAGGTTAATCATTTCTCTTAACCAACTTGACAATTAACTAACCTATTTGATCAATTGTATTTGCGAATGATTTAAGAAAAGTGGACAAAAACAATTAACTTTTATACTATTAATACTTTATTTTTCACCTTGAAATTTAATTAACTAATTTCTCCAACACCTCTAATCTTGATTATCCACCTCTAAGATTTAACTAAATTAAAATTGCGAAAAACAAACCAACCAAATTAACTGGATTAATATTAGACTTTACATTTTATCTCAACATACAACTTAATTGTTTTTCATTAACTGATTACAATTTAACATGATTACTGATGTTCCCTCTGAGCTTATGTGTGTAAATTGTTGTTGTTGTAAAACCATTGATGATACTAATTAACTGATTGTAATAACAATTTACTCTGGGTGTGTGTATATATTAAATGGATTTGATTATCATCATTTGCAAATATACAAATTGAAAACGTGAGATGAAATTTTAATTACAATTAAAAATGGAAACATCATCATTACAACTTATCATGATTACTAATTGTAATTAAACAACAACAACAACTTACATATGATTATGATAATTAACTGATTTCTCTTTCTCTTAATTGTTAATCTCTGATGAGATTTCCATTAATTTCAGTTAAATTGTTAAACTACTGGAAACGAGGAGTAAAAAAATTGAAGTGAACAAATTAAATATTCATCCATTTATCAAGGTAACAATTAACATTAGCAATTGACATTATTTGGACAATTAACTGATTCTTTTCTCACTCGTTGATTAGTAACAATTAAGCTGTTGACAATTTTGATTGTTGAAAGATAAGTTTTCCTGTTAAAAGAAAAAGTTGAAACTTTACTTGATCAATATTTGAATAACTTACATGTCCAGATCTGTCCATCTCGTTGTTGGTCAGTTTAACTTTCTCAAAGGTAATCACTTGTTTCCTCAACTGGTCAGCTGAATAGGGTGCATCTGGGTGAAGGTAAAGTCGAGCGGGTGAGGGAGGGTCAGCCTTGCCCGCTACAAGCCAAGATGACCGGTGATAAGCATAACGGTAACGTTTATTGTCCACGGGAACGATGTCCATTAGAACCAAATATTTAACATTCACATCGATTCCAGTAAAAGAGACTCGAACTGTTGGAAACATCCGTCTGATTAAAAGAAAGGGAAAAGAAAATCAATTGTTAATTGTTAATCAGTAAAAAGAAAACGAATTACAATCAACCAAATGGCAATCAAATCGTTACTCTGAAACTCTCAGGATATTGGAAAATTTTTCGTGTTTCTTTGGTCAATATCATCACCTAGTATCCTTGTGAAACCGGATACAGGGATGACCGGATATCACACACACGAAAAATCATCTCATGATAAACTTGAGGGAGAAAAGAATGAAAAAAAGTTCTAACTAAAGAGAGATGATATTAATCTCTCTCTCTCTCTCTCTCTCTCTAGCATTTTAGTGCCTAAACATATTGCCATGGATAGAATTCAATTAGATTAAAAAAAGAGGATAAAAGAAGAGATAAATAAAGAAGATGATAAAAATGAGAAAGAAGAAGAAGAAAAAGTGAAATTATTCAAAGAAAAAGAAACAAATAATTGAGGCTTTGACTTTCTGACGATGGCGAAGATAATTATACCTTTACCTGTGAAGAAGATAAAATAAGTAAATGAACATAATATATCTTATAATCATCATCATCATTTTATCATCTTCTCACTAACTCCAAGAGAGAGAGAGAGAGAGAAAGCCTTTCCCTTTTCCACTTTCTCTCTTTGTATCTCTCATTCCATCCACCCCTAACTCTGTGGCTTGACCATCAACTTGATATATTTTATGTTCTTTTGCTCTTCTCTTACCTTTTTTTTTACCTGATTCTTTGTTATTGTTGACTGTCAACTAATGATAGTGTTTACGAGCAATGAGAAACTACTAAACATTATTTAAATATACAAGGTAAAAGGTGTCAAAGGTACCACGCCTTTTAACAACGCTCTAAGTACTCAGGTATTTTTTTTACCTGAATTTTGGTTGTAACAACAACAGCAATCAACAAATTATCATTCATCTTGTGTTACAATAGAAAAGGATTGAGAAAAAGAGCCAAGAAAATTCAGAGAGAAAAGGTTTTCCTTTGTTTTCTTGTTTCTTTTTTGCATGAATAACCCTTTCTCTTAATTTTCCACCCCACTCTCATCATTTATTATCCACTCTCATTCATCTCTCCCACCGTAAAGATTACAAGCATTTGGAAAGTTCATTTATGTTTTCAAATGATTGAACAATTAACATTTTCACCTGCAATTTGCATAACAATTTATTATCATTGCAATTGTCATCTCATCATTATCATCAGTCTTATCATCATTAACAACTTTATCTTCCTCATCATCATCATGTTTACTGATAATAAATCTCTGAGTTTCTGTAAGAAAAAAAAAGAGATGAAAAGTTTGTCATCATTATCGTGATTCTCATCAAAAACTTGGAATATTAATCAAGTGTAACTCTGCCAATTTCATGATGATCATCATGAAGATGAAGATGATCATGATGATAGACTGATAATTAGGTGATGAAGAAAAGCTAATGAAAAAGTTTGCCAACAATTTTCATCATCTTAAATCATCTTAATCCTCATTTTCTTAATCCAGACAATCAGTTAACACTTGTTAAGGGTTAATCATTCAACTGTTGATAGTTTAATCATGATAATTAAAATTGATTATCAACAATCAGCATTAATTTTGTTTTTCTCCAACCAATTTAATCTCATCATTATCATCATTTCAATACAAAAATCTGAACACAATCAACTAAATTAACAAGACTGATAAGTTGAGATAAACAATTAATTAGCTTAATTAGTTTCCAATAACAAAACCTAATTGTTTGCTGTATCTAATTAACTATCATCATCATTTACCTAATCATCAATTGTCTTATATCTAATAATTATATCGGTTAATTGTTTTTTTTTTACAGGTAAAAATTTTCAATGCTAACAATTAATATTAGTATTTCTTACTTGGGGTTGATTATTGTTTGCAATTAATGAGACAACAATGGGTAAATTAGTTAATTTAGTTTAAAGTTACAGATTTAGTTTCACAGTTAATTGTATTTCCTTGAGTTAGTTAGTTGATTGTTTTTGTGTTTTCTTTATGATTAATTATCGTATGAGACAATCCAAGTGAAAATGTTTCACCTTTTGTGTTGATTATCATCATTATCATGATCACAATTAACTATTTGATGATGATGTTAATCACAATTGGTTTCTTTTTGTATATGTGTATAACTATAATTAAGGTGTTTCCAGCTTATTATATGATCAACAATCAACTTAATTGGTTTTAAGTTTGTGTTTTTTTTTGATTCAAGTAGTTGGATTGTTATTAATTGTTACAATGAAAATGATAAAATTAAAGAAACTTGTTAACAATCAAGGAGTATATGAGTTTACAATAATCATAATAATAGTAACAATTTACAAACAAAAACGTTAATTGTATTGTGTTAGCGAGACTAATAGTAATAATCATAATTAAACCTTAATTTCAACTCAAATATCATCATTATCATCATGGTGGTGGTGATGATGATGATGATGATTGTGAAGGTGGTAGGTTAACAATCAACGTAACAATTAAAATAAATAACGTTTCTTTAATTGTTGATGTTCCCTAATTAGATTATCACAATTGGAAAAAAAAATTTTCCACAGAAAAATATTTATCCTTCTCGATTCTCAGCATTCTGATTATCATGAAGATGATAAACAAGATATAATATCATCTCTCCCTCTTAACTATGTGTTGTTGATGGAGATGAGGATGATGAGAGGCATGATGATTGCGATAATGATGATGATGAAGCCTTGTCTTTGAAATAATTAGCTGATGAATAAAAATAAATGCGAAAGTGAAACTTGAAACAGTAACAAGAAAAAAAATTTTCAATGGACAATTTTTGCTTTACAATAAGACAAGAAGATGAGGATGCTCAAGATGATGATGATGATGATGGTGGTGAGGGATGAAAGAAGATGAGGATGCGGAGGAAAAGGAAAGTTTTAGTGTTAACAAGAGGATTTTTTTTTCTTTTCTTTTCTGTCACAATCGATGGGGTTAAAAGGGGCAATTGAAGTAAAGAGAAAAGAAAAAGTCAAAATGAATTAAGTGATGAGGATCATCCTCCATCTTCATCTCTGGTGGTCTACTTATAATTTAGTTAATAATTTTATTCTCTCTTTCTATCTTCTTTTCTCATCTTTCTAATCATCTTCCTCTTACTTTCTCTCTCATCTTACCTTGTATATATAACATGTTAGCCGATTGGATAACATGAGGAAGAACATGTAACACGCATAAGCTTCAATGAGAAAAAGGCGCAAACGCCTTAGAAGGGAAAAGTTTTTCTTTCTTCAAGGAGTAAACTCATCGAGAAGATGAGGATCATCGTGATGATTAAGAAGATGAGAGAAACAGAAAGAGAGTGAGACTGAGAGAGATACATAAGGTGCCTTATTTGGAATGAATATCAACTTCTACCTCCTGCCAATTCTACTTCGCCACATTTTCTTTCATTCATCTTCTCATATCATCTTCTCTCTCTCTCTCACTCACTCATTCTCTCTCTCTTTCGCTCTTCCTTCCTCATCTTTTCAGTTATATCTCTGTTTCTAACATGAAATATATACATATGAGTAGGAGTGTTCACCTTCCCTATGTATAAAGATGATGATAAACAAAAATATGAGAGATGATGATCATCTTCATCTTACATACTCTTCAAGTGATGATGATGATGTTGATGTTGCAAAAATGTTGCAATGAATCTTTGTCATAATTTTCAGCATAGTTAATGATAAAAATGGTTGAGAGAGACAAAAATATTCACCCCACCCACAAGTAACTCAAATAAAAATGTCACATAGGATATTATTATCATCACTGATGATCACAATGACAAGATGTAGTTTTCATGAGTTAAATCATTTCAACTGAATAATAATAATAATGTATCATTGAATTGTGTATCCCATGCATGGCAAAAGATGAAGATGAATAATAAACAAAATGTTTTCATCTTCATCTTTTCTGACCAATGATGAATCTCAAGATGATGCTCCATTTATATATATATAATGCTTGATACTTAATTACATTTAAATGATACAAATGAAAGAGTGAAACTTATGTGACTAAATAGACAAAGAGTAATGAAGATGAGGATGAGGATGAAAAGATGATGAGAAAACTGAACTGAATGTAATGTTATCCAAAATCATCTTCATCTTCATCATCTTTAGACCTCCCAAGATTTTGTACAATCATCCTTCTCATCATTATCATCAACACAACATCATCATCTTCATTATCATTATCATCATAATCATTATCATCTTTGTCCTTCTCTCTCACTCTCCATCCTCATCCTTAAGTATCTCAAATATTTTGAATTTACTTTTTTGTTCACAAAACAAAATTAAAACTTTGCATCAACAGTTAATTGTGAAAATTTTTAAATATCCTCATAGAAATTAAGTTAATCATCAACATTGTTGACACAATTACAAGTTGATTCAGTTTTCATGTTGATTGTGAGTTTTGTTTTTGCCATAATTTGGTTACCTTGGTTTTAGTTTGTTTCATGATAATTAATGTTGATTATTGTGTAATAATCAATTGTTAATGAATGATAATCAATTTAAATGTCTATTAATAATCATAATTGTTGAAACAAAAGGTTGACTCCCTTACTTTTTTTTTACAATCTAATGGTTGATAATATTGTAAAACAATTAATACAATTAATTGAACTTGTTATTGTGATTTAGCAATTAAATCAATCTGACAATTAACCATTTGTTTTAACTATTATCACCATGACAACATTGTAAGTGATTAATATGAATGATTAGTAAGTTTTTGTCTTTACTAATAAAACAGTTAGTTAATTGATTGTAAAGGTTGATATGATTTAGATTTGATGATTATAATTAACTGTATAATTTATTAATTCGTGTTTATTATTATCATGATACTATTTTTTTTTGTTATTGTATTTTAACTGAAATAATGATATAACTATTATATATATTATATGATGATTTCCGTGGGAATCAAATTCATTACATGTAAA